TAACCAGGAACTCGTAATGACCATAACGAGTCCTGAATGCCGTCTTAGGAACGTCATCCCTATTAATCTTCAACTGATAATATCCAGACCTCAAGTCAATCTTGGAGAAGACACAAGCACCTCGAAGCTGATCAAACAAATCATCGATACGTGGCAATGGATAACGGTTTTTAATCGTCACTCGATTCAATTGCCTGTAATCAATACACAGCCTCAAAGTTCCGTCTTTCTTCCTCACAAACAATACTGGAGCTCCCCATGGTGAAGTACTAGGCTGAATGAAACCCTTGTCCACTAATTCCTGCAACTGAACTTTCAATTCCCTTAACTCAGCAGGTGCCATACGATAAGGGGTCAAAGAAATAGGATTAGTACCTGGAAGAAACTCAATAGTAAATTCCATGTCTCGATCTGGTGGTAAACCAGGTAAATCCTCGGGGAAAACATCAGGAAAGTGTCTGACTACCCTCACATCTTCAACTCGACCAGGAACGGCCTCATCCAACATCACATGAGCTAAGTAACCCTGGCAGCCTTTAGACAACAACCTTTTCGCTCGCAAAGCCGAAATAACACCATGTCTCACCCCACTCTGCTCACCCACGAAAGTAACCACAGGTAGTCCAGGACGATGGAACGTAACTATTTTCCCATAGCAATCAATATTGGCACGATAGAAATGCAACCAATCTGTGCCCAGAATCACATCAAAGTCGACAATATCTAACGGGATAAGATCAGCTGGCATAACAACACCCTCAACTATCACTGGACACCCTGGGTACACACAATCTACAATACATCTCTCTCCTCTAGGTATAACGAACTCTAAATCGTACCCTAGAGGTGTGGGGCGAGGTTGCGACACTTGAGCAAATGTATGAGAAATCACAGAATGTGTAGCACCACAATCAACTAATACTCTAGCAAAATAACCAAGTATATTCAACGTACCCATGATCAAATCTGGATTATTCTGAGCGTCCTACAGCGAAATATTATGAATACGCCCCTAGGTCTGCTGTCGTCCACCGCGACCTCTGCTCGTCTGGCCACCACGATTCTGAGTACCACGCCCCTGACTGGGTTGATCAGACTACCTCGAAGACCCCGCACTACTCGAAGCAATCTCTCCCTGCTGAAATTGTCCTCCCTGAAACCACTGAGAACCGCCTGCTGGAGCTGGAGGATACGGCATATAGCCGCTAGAGTACTGAGGATAACCACCTTGAGAATAGGGGTCATGGGGGTACTGATACTGTCCCGGGGCATAAGGAACAGCATCACCCTGATAGTGATAGGCACCACCTCGACCTGCCTGCCCATAACTATTCAGACCCTGAATCTGCTGAATCGGCGCAGGTGACAGCAAGAAAGTCTGCTGCGGCTTCTACTACTGACTCTGAGGACAATGCGCAGCTCTATGTCCCATCTGCCCACAAGTAAAACAACCACTGCTGCCATGCCTACACTCACCAAAGTGTCGATTATTACACCTACGGCAAAGTGGGGCCCTACCTCGGCCACCATCACCCTCTCTGGCCTCGAGCACCACCTGCAAACCTACCTCCACGTCCCTGACCAGTGGCGCTGAAACCACCACTAGAAGAGCTAGAACTAGTACCACCCCTCTTGAAATTCTGAGTCTAACGAGGCCCGAGCGACGCTTGACCTTTACCCTTAACATCTTTCTTCTGATTATCGTTCTTCTCTTCTTCATCACTCTCGCTCGACATGTTTTCAGAGTCCTCAACTCTCAGCAGAAGCTCATAGAAATCCTGGTAAGTATCACAGTGAGTAGTGGTCGCCATCGAACGCCATTTCTTCTTAGTACCTAAGCGAAAACGACGAAGCATCTCCGCCGGATTACCAGCAATCTCCGGATGGTAGCGAGACAAGTCAGTGAACTTCCGATAGTACTCATTCGCTGTCATCTTCCTCTGTTTCAACTCAGTAAATTCCTGCTTCTTACGATCGATGTACTCAGGGGGCACAAACCTTCTCTTGAATAAATTAATGAAAACATTCCAATCCATCTTCTGAGCTGGAGTCAAACGACGAAGTTCCTGCTCCCACCAGGCTGCAGACTCCGAACCCAGAAACCACGAGGTCGTCTCGACCCACTTCTCAACTGGAAGATTCCCCTGACTATTCAGAACACGAAAAGTCTTCTCAATGTGCTCTAACCATCGCTCTGTACCCTCATGACCTTCATAACCCTCAAACTTATCCAACTTCAGATTGTACATAGTCTCCAGATGAGTCCTCTGGGGAGGGCGAATCGCCGACTGTATGGCTGTAGCAATAGCTTCCCCCAGCTGAGCAATATCGGGGAAACTAGGCTCATCAGAGCGACGTGCTTCCCGACGAGGCGGCATCGTTCTGACAGAAGGCACCAAAACCATTAGAATACTCACAAAAGACATAGGACTGCCAAACCTAGGCTCTGATACCAAACTGACACACCCCGACCGAGATCAGGGCGTGCTGGCCGTCACGTGGAAGTGACGTAGCCAAGTGCACAGTGCGGAAGCTAATAAAGTAGTAATATAAAAGTACGAATAATAAAAAAAAACTAGCATACAAAGTAGTAAAAACAAGTGCTAGCGTAAGTGAGACGCTAAGTTCAGAGCAATAAGTCTACAGCAGTCCAAATTAATATGATGCGATAACAGTGCACCCGAAGGTGACCCTACATTGGTGAGTGTCTGTCAGAAATGCCGGGAAGCCCTCTGGGAAACCACCAAACCTGCTAAGCAACTAGAACCTGGAGGGGCGCAAAACAAAAGCGTGAGTGGGCAAAAACAAAGCTCTTTGAAAACCATTTAGTAAAATACATTCTAACCCCTCGCCGTAAAACCTATATACCTCCCAGAAAATAAATGTATATACGTAGGTATGGGTATACCAATCATACTCAAGAATATGCCATGATGAAACCTCACAATGAAATGCAAGTGCTCAGATATAAATCATAACAACATATAATCTGGCGGCCGAAGTCACCTAACGTGACCTGTACGGCTACATACATAAATGTAGAGCTCAAATCTGAAACTCAATAACTGAACCTGCCCACGAGTCGGAACCACCTAAAGTGGTCTGTACGACAAGCCTGGGTGTAATACATATAAACGCTCTAGTGCTACGATCACGTGAAGGCTGTGCGAATAATCGCGGGTCACCTACGAGTCGAAACCACCTAAAGTGGTACATACGACAAGACTGTGCACCTAACTTGGATCCAAGCTGAGTGTATGGTGTGGGAGGTGGACAACACGTGAAGGACTGTGCCCTACTCTGGGCGGGAGCACTAACACCGGGGGTGCAGGTTATGAGCTCTCTAAGCATCTCTAATCACTATTGAATGCAAATATGAAATAACGCTTACCTAACACTGACCTGTGCATCCACAGCACCAATTATGCATACGTACATGTATGCAACTAATAATGCACGCGATGATGCATAAACAATAATAATATGGTGCATGGCATAAAACAATTAACCCTTTTTAAACAATTTCTAGGAAAATATAAATATATAGGTATATACAGAAAACCAAAAGCCCACTCACTGGTATGTGGAAGGGTCGTAGCCCCCCTGCCTCGAGTGACCACACTCGTCCTCGGGATACGTTTCACCTATATGCGAAAATACTATAAAAACGTTAATTTTAAAGCACATAACCTTCCTTTCGTAATAACTTCTCATACATTGCTCAAATTGGACAATTGAATATACCAACATGCTCTACACAACCTCAGGATCACACCCAAATTTTTAGAAAAATTTTCCACCGCCAAACGCGCCCCCACGCGCCGGCCAAGGCACGGCCACATGCGCCGGCCACGCGCAGGCACGTGCCTGGCAAGCTGACGGCGTCAACTGACGCCGTTAGGAATATTCCGTCAGTTTTGATAGATTCCGTTAACGGCGTCAGGATTATTCCGTCAGAATTGACGGAATATTCCGTCACCTTCTCCGGCGAGCCTCCGGCGCCGTCGCCGGCGCCGGAAAACTGGAAAAACTTCAACCTTCGATTTCTCTCTCGTTTTTCAACTATTTTTCGTGATTTTTACACCAAAACGAAGCCTAAGACTAGGAGAACATAAATATACAACTTTCAAGAGCCAAAAACTACGAGATCTTACCTGACCAAACCACCCAACTCCGGTTAACTCCAAACGTAGTGATTCCGACGTCAAAATTCTTCAAACGAAGTACTCCGAGACTCCTTGGGACCTCACCAAGTCACCTACGAGCTTCGTTTTCCCTAAAACGTGATAAAATATGTTTGCATGAATAGTACCCCAAACTAACTTCGTGAAATCGACGTGAAAACGGTGATTTTCTTACCTGAAAATGGTATGACTGGACTCCTCTCAGCCTCACGAGCTCGAAGGTGATCCTGGTTCCCTCGATCTATAAATGTTTGAGTGTGTTTGTGTGTGTCCGTACGTTTTCAGAAGGAAGAGGAAGGAAAGAGGACTCGGGAGAGAGAGACAGGGAAAGGGACAGGGAATCTGGGAGAGTGACAGTGTGTGTGTGTGTGAGTGTGTGTGGCCCAACACATGCCAACACCACACCAAACAACCACTAAACGTAAAAGAAACGAACTAAGGGCAAAATAGTCATTTAACACGTGAGTTTTTGATATTTTCGGGACTGGATGTCACAAAAACCCCAGGAACACCCAAGGCCCTTAGATTCAAACAACAAAGCATTGGTAGCTGCAAAAGGAACAATGCTAACCCAAACATGAAAATTATGCAATGTATGCCAACAAGAGGTGACAGCATCCCCTACAAAATTCGCTTCTTTAAAAAATATGCTTCTAACTTATGGATTCAAAAGAAGAGGCCAACCATTTGATATCTTCCATGACTGCAAGAATAGCATCTTTACATTAGAAGACACAACTCTTGCTAATTCCAAAAGATTCAAATATGGAAAATTCTATTTCAATCTCTCAACGTCTATAAAGAATGCTTACTGCGTCCAATTCTCGCCATTCAGTAGCATACGGTTTCAAGATTGTAGTAAGTTCTTCAGAGAAATTTGAGCTCTTTTTCCTTGAGGATACAAGTGCTGCTTCCGCACCAAGTCCATCTTTGTACCTGCAGGAAACAGAGACTGACAAACCGTCAAGTTTCCAACCTTTTATTTCCTATTTTATCTTATGTGCAATAATTTATATTGTAAAGTGTAAAATTCTGTAAATATAGCAATTATCGTTTATTTTATTAACTTCAACGTTAGAAATACTTCAAAAGTTGTAAATCAATGACCCTTTTGTTGTTAATCTATAGTCACCAACAAAATAATTAATTATATTCAGTTGAAGTGTTTTGAATTTTTCAGGAGAATACGTTTGCCTTTCGGAATTCAGAAAATGGAGAAATCAACAATGTTTGTTGTACTATTGGTGTTGCAACTTTTTGTCCATCTTCAATTACAGGTTCACTCGTTGGCCGCTCTTTCTAAACATGGTAAAATTAATTATGTAAATGAGAATTTTTCCCTTAAAACTCATTTTCTCTCCGCTTCAACCCATCATATTTACTTTTCATGAGAAAAACTCATTGACTAGACTCCAATAAAGCAAGTTTCCTTAACTGGCTTGATGAATTTGATTATCTATAATTTCTCTTCCAAGAATACCCCGTTATATTTAACATAATTTTAGGGTAGAATTTTGTGGAATTTAGTGCTATTTGTCATTAACTGATTGCCTTCTCAAACAGTTTTTATCCCTCACATTGGTGTTTCAAATATTTTACAATCTGTCACTTTTATTTCAAACTTGTTCAAAATGCTTTTCCAGTCTGTCAGGCGTTTGTTCATTCAATTGTTGGGAGTTCTATGGCATTGGTTTTTCATCGTTCGAGATCTATCAGATCCTGTTTCAGGCATTGATTTGTTATGTTCACAGTTTTTTTAATTCCTCGCTTTGCTTCATTCCCTCTATAAATGTTCGTTACTTTTTTGTTACTCATAATTTTTTGTTACTTTGATGTTTTGTATTTGTATTTTATTAAAAAATAGAAAAACATATGCATTAATTTTCTTATCAAATATATGAAAAACAATTTACCCATACCATGTAACCAATTATATATGACAAGGGCCAACTCTTTTCTTCTTTTGAGGATGCATACGGAAAAATGGATAAACATGTTTACCAAAAATATATGAGAAGGGAAAGTATCACACAAGTTTACCATCGTTGTATGATAGATCTCCCATTTACAATGTAAACTTTCAAGAATTTTTCAGCACATAAGAACTCTCATAAGAAATCGTCTTTACAACAAAAATTAAAGCTTTTTGTCAACAAAATAAACTATAGAGATACAAAAACGCATGGCTACCTTACAAAAAAAGTACGCTTGCACAGTCCATGGAGAATCGCATATGGATGCAACCTTAAACTCCTAAACCCCCACACCCCTTCCCCCATTTTCCAATTAAAAAAATAAAAAAATAAAAAATAAAAAATAAAAAAAAAAGAAAAAAACTTGATTGCCATAAACCTCTTGTTCCTTTCTTTTGTTTCGTACACATACATGGGCTAGAAAGGTGCTTTTTTGCAGGCAAAATTCTCTTAAATCCTAAAAAATTGAAATTAAATGAAAAAAAATTTGCATAAATCGATTCATGCCTAGGTGGAGGATTTAAAACTTCAAAATCACAATCTATCGGTCAAAAAGAGCTTGTTTTTCTCTATGAGAGAACCTTGAATTTTAGTCATAATGAACAAAGAATAAAGATTGCGTGATGGTAGTGTTTAATTACTCAGTGTGTGTTTATTGAATTTTAGTTTTATTGTTAATTTCATCTTGTACTTGATGGTTTGGGATTCGGGGTCCCTACGACGAGATCTGATGATGTTCTTCCTATAATTGCCAAAAAATTCGCTGACAGCACTGCATAATAGTTTGTTAGTTTTTGTTCCAAGTTCATGCAGAGAACACACTAACACATTTTCTGATAATGTAAGTCAAATGTCGAGTTTTGCTGCTAGTTATTTCTTGAGAATTCTGTAAAGACTTGTATTATATAAGCATATAATTTTCCTTCAAGTCACATTTGTGACGGGTGGTTGTGTAATTCATGTTATAATCATATTCTTTTCTATTCAAAAAAAAAATTTTAAACAAAATATATTAAGGTTATTTTGGGAATAATAGTGGGTGGAGAAATAACACTTTGCCTTTTTAACTTTTTATTGTGGGTGTGATTATCATGTGGGAGGGAAAATAAGATAATGGGGTAGGTCTAGTAGCACTCTTTAAAAGTTGGGTTTTAATTAAAAGTAATTAATAGGTAGGTTTTTGTGTAAGACTATTAAATCTGCAAGGCCTATTTCTGAATGACCCAATGTAAATGAGAAAAACATAAAGATGCCCACGTAGATGTTGTCACTTCTGCAACCTATTTCCTTCCTATATACTAAAGAAAATTATCGCACTTCCCATTTTGCAGATTTTAGCTACTCAAAATCTGTGATTAATGCCTTTGATCTTCCACTAGAAGAAGTGTATGACTACATTGTAGTTGGAGGGGGTGCCGCAGGGTGTCCATTGGCAGCAACTTTATCATCAAAGTATTCGGTGCTCGTTTTAGAAAGAGGTAGTTTTCCTACATCATATCCGAATGTCTTGACTCAAGAGGGGTTTATATATAATCTCCAGCAAGAAGATGATGGAGAGACACCAGTTCAAAGAGTCATGTTGGAAGATGGCATTCCTATTGTTAGAGGAAGGATCCTTGGCGGCACGAGCATAATCAGTGCTGGCGTGTACGCAAGAGCTAACATTTCATTCCTAAGTGAATCGGGAGTTGAATGGGACATCAATTTGGTTAATGCGACATATGAGTGGATTGAAGACACTATTGTGTACAAGCCAAATGCATTCGCTTGGCAAACTGTTACACAAAAAGCATTTTTGGAGGCTGGCGTTTTACCAGAAAATGGATTCAGTTTGGATCACGTACCTGAAACAAGAATCACTGGCTCAACTTTTGACAATAGTGGAACTAGACATGCGGCTGATGAACTACTTAACAAAGGAGACCTAGACAACTTGCGAGTTGCAGTTCATGCCAACGTAGAGAAGATTCTCTTCTCTTATAGTGAATCAAGTACGTTGCATCTATATGATATTTAAAACAGCTCCAAGTTTCTCATTCTGCACTTTAAGATTAACAATTTATTGTTTTAACCCATTAACGGAATCAAGGTAAGGCCAAACACTAGACATGAGATTAAATTAAGCTACCCTATATTTTGGATGAATCCAGGGTATCCCCTGCACGTAGGCGATGACTAATCCCTCGAGCCAGGTCGGACCCCATTCGGGGGGCAAGCTCTCCCAATGCTGGCTTCTCCATTCACAAGGCTCGGACTCGAGACCTTACTTAAGGGGAACAAGCTCCTTACCACTTGAACCATCGTTATAGGAGTTTGATATTAATTATAAGCTATTTTATAATGCAGGCTTGTCAGCTACAGGAGTCATATATAAGGATTCTAAAGGAATTGCTCCTCGGGCATATGTACGCGATCAAGGTGAAGATATATTGAGTGCAGGGACAATGGGGACCCCTCAACTTCTACTACTTAGTGGCGTTGGCCCAGAGTCTTACCTATCATCTCTTGGAATCCCAGTTGTACTTGACCATCCTTACGTTGGGCAGTTTCTATATGATAATCCTCGAAATTTCATTAACATTTTGCCCCCAAATGCAATAGAACCCTCAATTGTAACAGTTCTAGGCATTAGAGACGATTTCTGGCAATGTTCTATCTCGTGCGGACCACTTACTGCTCCACCCTATAGTTTATTTCCTATACTAGAAAAGAATGGAGAAAAATAATGTAGGTGGAGAAAAGTGATAAAACAACAAAGGAGGTGGAGAAAAGTGAAGAAAAATACTGGGCTTATGCACATGGTCTTAATATTTTCTATCCAGTTCCTTCAGTTCTTAATATTTTCAAATCGGAACTGGAACCTTTTGAAACGATTCGATTCGGTTTTTGTTCCGGTTTTGACTTTTTTGGTCAACACGATTTTTTACGGTTTTTTTTGTCACGATTTGATTTGGTTTTCCGGTTTGGCGGTTTTTATGCCCACCCCTGGCTACTTTGGGTAAGCCACTTCCTACGTCAACACAGTGACCTGGCCTTTGGCTTGCCTAGAAGATGAGGTCGCATTCTCCCGATGACGGGCATTCCCTATCCGCCGACAAGCCTTTCCCGACCTTTGATTGAGGTCTCTGTGAGGATATGAAACCCCACATCGTCGGGCTAAGTGACTGCATTGATCAGGGTGTCCGGGAAAAGCTAGGAGGTGACCTCTTGAAGAATAGCTTGGCTCTTCTCCGCCATCATCACCTGTAATAATACCACAAACGTATTAATAATAATTAATATGTATACTACTAACAAGTTTAAGAAAAGTAAGAATTAAATATACTTACATGCAGCTGCTCTGTCATCTTATCCCCCGGTCAAACATATACATCCCTAAACATGTCGATCTTGTGAAATTTTGAACCCTCTTTAAAAAAAAAGAGTAAGAAAACTGTTAGTAATTGAAATAGAAAACCCATGTTGTGTTTGTGGCTTGGTCGCTTCATTTTATGTGATAATGAGGACACCTTTCCGCTGTCGAGTGATTCTATTAGCCCTGGCGATCGCATGGGGCAACGTGGTTCCTTTAGTGCCTTGTGTTCCTCAGTCTTCTATACCACAAGTTGGATGAGATTCACACTCTGGGGGAGTAAGTCACCAGTAGTGCTTCGATAAAGAGTTTTTATGTGTCTGCTTTCTATAAATCTTCGTATTAAATGGTTAAAGATAAGTCATTGCCCTTTAAGTGCCGCTAAGAGCCGCTTTATTGTTAACTCCTCCCCTTATTTGCTTGAGAGATTTTAGTTAGCAAGTCCGTTGGTTCAGTAAGATCCCAGGAAGGAAGCAAGACCTCCTGGAGTATCTGGATGACATGAACACCTTCGTTTTCCGTCCTTACACAGCAATCCCTGAAGGCTTCAAGCCGGTGATGTTTTATACTGATGTCGTTTATGGTGATGATCCTAGTATGACTTTGATTCCTTTGTCCGAGAATTTAGATTTCCCTTCCCTCACTGAGAAATTATTGGCGTTGTTGGCCTCGTTGGTACCGTCCCTTGGAAAGAATGGTAAGGAAAGGAGTGCAATTTATGCTCATCTCCGAGTGAGACGACAGTTCGGTTTTGACCAAGGCTTTCCTAGCTGAGGACAGTGGTTCCGTCAAACGACTATTTTGGAGTTTTGTCTTTTTGCAACTCAAGAGTCTTCGTCTTTTCCACTACATAGCCAACATGACTCGAATGGGTGGCATCTCCAAGGCCTATATGACGTACTCGATGAAGTGTTTTGCAACCATTGCCAAGTTCCGCAATGACAAACTGCTAGCTGCTATTCTTGGTTTTTGTGGAAGCCCTGAAGATGAATCACTAAAGGGAGAATTGAGAGTAAGTTTCAATTCACAACCGATTAGTAAGAGTTCTTGTTGTCCACTGCCTCACTAAAACGAACATAATTTATCGCACACCATGTAAGGTAGTTATTGAAAGATATAATGATGATGAGCAAGGATAATCAAATAGTTCAATTGCATATGGCAAGGATTGATTAATATGTTTATTAATCATATGAAAGGTTTGTATCAGGCTTTAATTAAGTTTCGTCCACAAGGCACATTGAGTTTAAGTTGTATGACAACTAAAATTAGATATGAATTAACCCAAAGACAATCTCAAAATTGTCCATGCTACAAGTTTGCCACTCACTTGAAAAGAGGTATAATGGCAACTTTGTAACCTTAACCTCTTTAGGGTTTCTTTTAGGAAAGATATGAGAACACAAGCTCTCTCTTTCTCTCAAGAGAGGCTGGACATATGGAAGAAGCAAACTAGCATTTCCTTCCTCTCATACTACTCATCTTCTTCCTTCCACATCATTGGTGTCAAAACAACTTTGGTGGCTTTTGGAGAGTCTATTCTTCCATTCAAATCGAATAAGACAAGGAGCCAAGAAGCAACTTTCTTCCATCCATATTTATGGAGCCAAGGAGCAAGGTCGCAAAGGATTGAAGGCCCTCTCATGGGTGAATAACCTTTGCAAAGCAAAGAGGTGCTTCAAAGGTATAAAATTCAACTCTCTTAGTGAATCAAAGTTATAAAATTTCTCGACTCTCTTTGTGATTCTAAGGTATAAAGTTTCTCAACTCTCTTTGTGATTTGAGTTAAGTCTTGGTTCACCTACTAGGCTATAAATTTCCTGGTTTAAGTTTTGTTTTAAAATGCATACAAGCATGCTTCAACCATTTAATCGTTAAATGCATGCATTATGTGGCTTAATGACCTTGGTTCATCAAAAATTTTCCTTTTGAGGGTTGTTTATTTGCACGAACAACGGAGAGAATACAAGGGTAGTGAAATCTAAAGCATGATTTTGGTGTTTAGCATAAGGGTTTTCAATAAGCACTTATAACCGAGTTGTTATTCTCCATGGTGCATCTCAAGAGGTAGCAAAGTTCTTGAACCTCACTAAAATCATTGTGATTGTTTGCGGCACATGGTTATTTATTGTTCATATATTCGCATAGCATCATCTTATAAGTTTGCATAAACCGAAGACGATAAACAAGATCAACTAGAAGGGATTAAAATCTACATGAAAATACTCCAACGTCAAATATCAACCACTGAAACTTGTAATTTACTCTCTGAACTATGACAGCCCCAAAATATACAATGGTGAGAACGCAGAAAGTTTTTTCTTAAAGTTATGGCTCACCAAGTGACAGATAAACCAACCGAAGGCGACAGACAATATTGGTCAACTTTCACGTAAAAGGTTAGAAATTTTTCGTTACCCCAACCACGGAAAAACACAAGCAAAACAAAATCTAGCATAACTGATATAAAGCAGAGAACATGAAAATTACAAAAATACGAGCCAAACGATCATATCTATGATGGAAACTTTTTACATGTATAACAGTCGTTTACTATAAAATGGGAACAGAAAAAATCGGTGAAGGACAATTGACATAACTGCACTCCTGAATGAAATTTTCTATCAGAACGTCGTTCCTCCCAAATTCTGACCTGGCTACGCAGAAGTAAGCTTTGATTTCCCAAGCCCAATGAATTAGCCACCTCCAGACTTGAGTGTGTTACTCAACCTACATTAACAAGTATATTGTTCCACTCTACTTCAGAAACTAAGGTTGAAGTTAAAACAAAAAAAATTTAAAACTACGAAGAACTTGAAAATTCATCATCACTTCTAACTGTACAAAGTCTTAAAAGTACATTCACGCACACTCAAAAACAAAATATTATGAAATAAATGCCCCCAACAGCACTGCATGTTGTTCAAAAAGAAAAATAACTGTTATTGGCAATCATAAAAGTTGTCATGCACTCCTCCCCAGTGTAAGAAAATAAAGGACGTAGGAGTGCATGATGACTTTAACGCTAATAACAATTCCCAATTGCAAAACTCCAACAGAATGAATATCAAGCAGGAACCAAAATTAGAGTCAGTTTCAGAAAGGAATTAATGAATAAAGGATCCTATTGACTTGCTGCTGGACTCTTGAAATTTCTACAACGTTAATGGGGACAATGGTACTTAGTGTACATAGTTAATATTATGTATGTATACTACAAATGTGAAAACTACTAGTACTCAGTTTTTGTTTCTAGCAGCTGAGCAGTTGTAGGGCCAGTTTCAATCTAGCATCGTTCGAGATTCAACTCTGAAATTATCAATTCGTTCTACGAGCTTGATTTCTGCATGATACTCATGCTTATTATCATTATAAACACCATGTTGACTACTAAAGTACCAACAAATGCTTTTTGGGACGTGGCTTCTAATAATGGACTGAGGTCAACTGAGCATATAACTCAACAGTTTTCCCCGACCTTTTGCCCTTTGCTCTTCACAAGGGAAGTCAAGGCAACAGGCAATAAATATTTGCTCAATCTTACCCGGATAAATTGTTAGCTCAATCTTATCCAGTTAAATTGTTAGCTCAATCTCATCCAGTTTTAAAACCGTTGGAAATTCCTAGGATACATAAATGTGTAAAACAGATGTAACTACAGAGAAAACATATCCACCACTTTTAGCTATACTAGAAATTTCACAATTGAAACGGAATGTTCTTTTACTAACTGGAACTACAGAAAATTTGATGATTAGTAATGCATACCAGTCTAAGCCCTCAAATAGACCTTCCCCTTTTATGGCAGAAGTTTTAAAAATAGCCCACTGGCGATTTTTTATCTTGTGCAACTCCAAAGCCTCGGTTATTGCAGCATCATCAAGAGCACCGGGAAGATCCTAATAACACAAATGAAAATATAAAAAGGATCACAAAGAAAATCAAAATTGATTGAAAATTATATTTGAAAGGCCTATATAAAGATATGAAACTGAACTTGGAATGTAAGAGCTGGTTCCCTTTCAAAGTTTTCTAACAAATGACATTTTTCTTTTTCTTATTGTTTTAACATTGTCTCTTTATACTGTGGTCCGCATACACATGCATATTATTAAATGATTAAACAGCAGTTTTTCACCGAACCATGCAAATTTAACAGGAAATCCCACTAACCTGCTTATTGGCAAAAATGAGAACAACTGCACCTTTCAACTCTTCCTCCTGCCAAAGGGCTCAAAAGCAATAAAATCACTATCAAATAACCTACACAACCAATGAGTAAAAGGCAAACTCCAGGGAGTCAGAAAAAGAGAGTAGAATTATGGAATCACAAACATCCAAGGCCAAGAGTTAGACATTAACAGAAGTTTCTCGTACTAAAAAGAATTTCCACTTTATTATTAAGATTCCCAGAAAATAGAAATAGATCTATTTATATCCCCTCTTAACAAAAATTCTTATATCAATTTCTCTTTCCTTATATTTACATTTACAGCAACAAAGCACTGACAACAATATGGAAGGTAGAATATTCAAAAATTTACGACCAAAAAGGCCAATTCTATACATTCCAAAAATTTACTTTGAATATTCAAATGCATGCCAACAAGAAGTTACCTCAAGTATTGCATGAAACTCGTCCTTGGCGATTACCAGCCTATCGGTGTCACTAGAATCAACAACATAGATTATGGCCTGAGTATTTGGAAAATAACATCTCCAATACGGTCTGTGGCACGAAACAATATAGAGTCCAATGAGCTTATTGTTAACTTAGAAATTGGAGTGACAAACCAAAAGATACTCAAGGTGACCCAACAGTACGCATACCTCAAAAGTCAACAAACAGAGTTTCATTACCACATATTAGTATGATCAAGATGGGCACCACATGAAGAATTTCATTCAAATTTCTAATCATAAAGTGTCACATCCTATGGATGCTTTCTTTATGGGTAAGCAATTCAAAAGGAAAAAATGAAAAACAAACCTTGACCTAACCCTTACAACTGTTATCCATACTGCTAATCCAGGAGACCCAGCCAAGTTATTTTTATATAAAGCTGCCATGCTAATAAATACGCATCTCTTTTTTATCGTAAAACTTAGTCTGGTTTCAAGCTAAAAAAGAAAAGGCTACTATCATCATGTATCCCTCGTATTCAGTGGCAAAGTCCTATTGTTTAAGAATAATTACGTAATTTGCATAAAGTTTCTAACAGTGTGTAGTTGAGACTAAAGCACTCTTAGATTAGATTAGATTAACTTGGCTTGAGAAATTATATCTCAACATGAATATTTGGAAACTAATGGCATCCATTAAAAAAATTCAAAAAAAATAAAGGAATATTTACACAATGAATTCAGGCATACAGAACAATCAAAGTGATATTGAAACACCCAGTAAATGGATACCAATTGATAATCATAAAACACAGAACTACATTTATAGTGAAACATCAAAGCTTATATAGGGTTCTGACAATAAATCCTACTCATGTAATATTTTTCTAACACAAGTACATATTCCATTTGTGATATTTTTCTTCTAATCCTCAATGAAGATTCACTATAACAATATTAAAACAGACGCACTAATCAAGATTTATTCAGCACATCAGATTGCAAAGTATTAAAACTTACACTTTTATTGGACTAAATACAGAAAAGTTTACTAAATATCCAAACATATTAATAGACCATTTAGTCAAAGAAACAATACCTGATACTTGTCTGTCCACCTATATAAACAAACAAAAACAAATTTATCAGAACACAAAAATGTGACTTCTCTTATTTTATCAAGAAACTCACATGAGTCCATAACTTGAGCTTTAAAAGTTACTATCCATCATACGAAAAATTAAAACCTCATATAAGTAGTGGAAAAAGATGTAAGAGCTCTAAGATCTATTTTCCATTATCCAGAAGGAAATACATGC